GAGCAGGGTTGGTGGCCCCCGGGTGTCAGAAAGGCTCGTGGTTTGAGCAGAGGCTTTGGGGAGCTGCCTTTGGGAGCAGCCTCAGCTTTGCTGTGGTTTCCTGGTGGCAGGGTGGCTGCCTGCCCCCGGCTGCACCTGGGGCTGCTGCCGGGTGGGGAAACTGAGTCAGGCGGCACTGGGAGCCCCACGCGTGGTGGGGTGGTTTGTGGGTGCCCTTGGGATAGCGTGAGCCCCACAACCCTCAGGGTGTCCCAGCTTGTCTCACCCAGGCAGCATCTATTGGTATCAAGGGTTGTTTGTGCCCCCGTAGGGAATCTGTTAATTACCAGCTGGGGGAAAGCATCTTGAGTTTGGCCAATGCTGAGAGACAAACGTAGGTGCAGGGTGGGGAATAATCCCATTGTGGGTCCCCCCTTCTTTCCTCCACCTCCCCTGAGTCCAAGGATGTCGCTCTTGGATGTGCTTTTTTCCCCCTCAAGAATACAGGATCTGCTGCCTGCTCCCATGAGGGGGTTTTTGGGATGGATCCGGGTGCAGCCATGGGGGGGTGTCCTTCCCAAACCCAGTGTCTCACACCCCGTCCCTCCATGCAGGTGATGCTGGTGGGTGACTCAGGGGTCGGCAAGACCTGCTTGTTGGTGCGCTTCAAGGACGGCGCTTTCCTCGCCGGCAGCTTCATTTCCACGGTTGGAATCGACTTCAGGGTAAGTGCTCTGGGGGCTCCTTGTCCCTGGTCCTTGGGGTCTGGTCATGACTAACGAGAGGAGTAACAAAACGTTGTTCCAAGGACTCAAACCTCATCATCCCGATGGGTGTCAGCTCCGGCTGGGCACCATCTGATGGCACCTCCTCACTAGTGCTTTGCAGGAGGATGGGGGAGCATCTGCTCTGTATCCTGGGCATGGTTTGTGTAGGAGCAACTTCTGAGGCCTGAGCATCTGCCCAGTGGAAGCGTTTCCCTCGGTCAGTTTCAGTGGGTTTAAGATTTGCTTTTCTAAAGCACCAACAAATAAACACAAATCAAACCTGACATAAACCAGAATCCCCCGGAAGCACCTCCCGAGCACAGCTCCGAGGTGCCAGTGTGGGGTTGTGGTGCTGGGGCGGCCCCTCTGGCGTGGAGGGGATGAGTTGTGCCAAGGGGTCTCTGAGCTCTTGGACAATAACTGCTTTGTTGGCAGCGACTGGAGCCCCGGAGGCAGTGCACTGGAGCTGCTTGATGGAGGGGATGACGTGGGGAATGGGGGGTAGAAGGGGACACACGTCATGTCCTGCCATGCCCTGGTGCGTGCAGAGCATCCTTTGCCAGGCAGGAATGTCTATTGCATATGGGGCTCTCGGAGCCTTCTCTTGGCTGTATTTCCCGAGCTGGAGCTGGTGATGGATGCTCAGGGAAGCTGTGGTCCAGCACCCCCATGGGACAGCAGAGCAATGTGGGCAGTGACTTTACAGAGGTGGCATCAAAGAAATCTTATGGTGGCTGTGAAGGGCAATCAAGAGAGCTTTTGCTGCCAAAGTTTGGGTTGCTGGCCCAAGGATCAGTGCTCCAGGTCCCTCATAGTTCCATAACCATCTGCTTCCCCCCAAACTGCAACCTCGGGACCAGGAACATTCCCTGTGTCTGTGCCATCCCTGCCCTCATTTCAGGGCACAATCTCTTTCTCTCCATGGTTTTGGCTCCGTTTCGGTGCTGCAGTGGCAATGGGTGGGTGCAGTGAAGAGCTGGTGGCGATGCCACACACCGGCGTTGCATCTTCCCAACCGCCTTTCCTCAGCAGCATCTCGGATCTCCCCCTTTCCAGGAGGATTTCTGGAAGATGAGTGTCTCTTGTAACCTGCTGTTTCACCGGGGTGTGAATAATAACTTGCTGGTACGGTGACAAGTGGAAGAGATGAGGGATGGCTCTGAAAGCCTTTAGAAAACGCTGGTCCTTCCAGCAAACAGGCTCTCGGTGCAGAGCGGTGCTGCGGCTGCAGCAGCACCTGGGTGGCACTGGTAAATCGGAGCCCATCATTCTATACAAAGGTAATTACATGATGCTTCAGGTGTTCTTACAATGAAAAGCGGTTTATTACTCATTGCAGTGATTGATACCAAGGGCAGTCACACAGTCCTGTGACTTATTGATTAGAGCAAACCACTGCTACTGAGGAACAATCAAATTAGGGGTAATTTACTGCTGTAATAGAGCTGCTGGAGCTACATTGGTTTGAAATGGGCAGATTATGCGGTGGGAAGATCGTGTGTGTGCCCCGAACTCATTATTATCAGCTTTAAAGGTACTTGTAATTTTGGGGGGGGAGACCTAGAAGTAGTTTTTTGTGACACCTTTCCATTTCCATTAGGATAATCCTGTTTGCAGGTGTCCTGTAATTAGGCCCCTCTCACCGTTCGCATCACGATGCAGATGAAGCTCTTGGGTGGGAATGCTGGAGGCTTCTGCTGCTAGAGCACATTTTGGCTTTAATGTGCGTCTATCTAATAGCAGAGCTGTCACATCACGGCTCCTTCCCGCTGTGATCCCGGGATTTGGCAGCGGGTTTTCTGGCTGCAGCAAGCGTGGCTGTTTGCGGTGGTGGGTGAAGGCAGTCGCTGGGTTTCGCTGCCTTGGAGCAGTGTAAGGTGCTGAGCAAAGGTGTTATTTTGGTACATCAGGGGTTTTGGTGGGGTTTGTGGTGGTCACTGGGTCTTGCTGGGGGCAGAGACCACAGGGACCTCCCCAAGGCCGGGGTGAGCTGTGCTCCTGTGCAGGCACAACCCTGTTCAACTGGGGGAGCTGGGAGCTGCTGGGACCCTGGGAAAGGCTGGAAGTTGTAGGGATGGAGCTGCTGGCTCCTGATGTTGCTTTTGGGATTATCCTCACTCCTCTTGATGCTGGGGTCTCTCTGGGATGGGATGGAGCGTGTTGGGGGAGCCCCTGCACCCACCCAGGCACTCTCCTCCTCCATCAGTCCACCCTGTGGTCCCACTTGGCTCCAGCATCGGCCACTCATTTTCAAGGATGTCAAACAAGCAGATACACACGAAGCTGTGGCTAATGGGTTATGTAGGTGTGAGGGTGTGTAAATGAATAGAAACACACTTAAAATTAATCATAGAATCACACCATGGCTTGGGTTGGAGGGACCTTAAAGCTCACCCAGTTCCAACCCCTGCCCCGGGCAGGGACACCTTCCACTAGAGCAGGTTGCTCAAATCTGACATTGCAATTCCTAGTGGCCCACCAGGCTTTTCCCCTCCTTCTGTTTTAGGGAGTTGAGGGAGAACCTCTTGTTTGTTTGTCTTTTAAACAAAGAAGGATGTTGGTCTAATCATATTTGGAAGACAAACTGCTGATACTGGGGAAATAACAGTGATCGTAGTCTTAGAAAATACATCCAAATGGTACCTGTTGGCTTCCAGCTCTGGAGATGCTGAGTCCTTTGGGTTTCCTTCCTTTGGAATTTGGGTTTACTGAGCCCCACACTGTGGGTACACTGCGAAGGGCCCTGCTCCTGCACGGGCTTGCTGGGAGCAACAGAAACTTCTGTCTGAGCTACTGAGCTGCTTCCCACAGGGAGGAAACCCTCCTGGGGGTGGAAAACTACACCCTGCCTTGGGCATCTCGGTCTCAGGCATCGCTTTTGGGATTTCCAGCCATTGTAAGATAACGAGGGGCTTATTTATTCCCCCCCATGAGAAGTGGTGTGGCTGTGCTGAGCCATGGCATGAGCTCTTCCTCCTCCTCCTCCTCTTCCCTGAGGGGCGGGGGGGTCCCATATGTTGGGATTTCAAGGAGAAGGGTCTCCTGGAAAAGAGCAGGTTTGTCTCTCAGGGGTGTGAATCCCATCTTGATGCTGCCGAAGGAGCTGCTTTTCACTGTAATTCTGGGAATGCTGCAGAAACCTCGACAGGAACTGAAGCTGTGCAGCCAACAGTGCTGCTGCCTTGTCACAACAGCCAGCTAACATGAGAGGAGGCTTGCCAAAGCCAAGAAACCAAAGCGCCACGTGAGCCCGGCGTGTGCCCCTCGCTGGTGACAGTCAGGCTCTATGGCTGGTGACCACAGCCCTGTGCTCCATCCCAAGCTCTGCAGGGTCAGGAGAGTCAAGGCATTTGTACTAATTGGTCCTGAAAAGAGAAGAACATAAAGGAAAAAAAAAAGGAAAAATGAGCTTTTTCTCCCTGGGAAGGTGCTAATGAGCCTCTTTGCATTAGCAGGGAGATGGTTTCTGTGTTAGTCAGTGGGATGAATCCATCAGGAAGCGCTTTGCTGGTGGAGTTCAGAGCAGGGACAGAACATGTCTTCATGTTCTCCAAGGTGTGCAGTGGTATCGCTCCTATTGCTGTCCCAAGGGGAAGGAGCAAACCAACATCCCCCTGGTGCAAAGCACACTTTGGGAGCAGAGGGAGCCGGCCCCCGTGCTCCAGCTCAGCTTTGCACTTCCCAAGCAGGCAGCTGGGCACAGGGAACATTCCCTCTAAGCCAGTCTTTGCCCCAGAGTGCCCAGGAGGGGCTGGTGCTGGTTGTTACCCTGCAGGGACCCTGCTGCGCTCCGCTCCAGCCTTGGCTGTGCCTCAGTTCCTCTTCCTACTGGGGTGGCTGCTGTGAATTAGAGCTGTCATTTGTGATCCTGAGCTTTGAGGACTCTTGATTACAGCGAGCCCTGTGCTGCTCTGGGGGTGGAATTAGTGGTGTATAATATGGGGCTTTGCATAAGAGGTTTGTTGCATCTCTCATTATTCTCTATAGAGTGTGTGTGTGTGTCCACCTTCCCTGGGCACAGCAGCAGCTGCTGGCTGAACTTGGCACGAGAGATGGGAAGCTTCATTCCGGGTGTGCAAAACAACACTGGATTCAGCAGGTCCTGGACCTCCATCCCTGGGGTGCTCCAGCGCACCCTTCGCTGTGGTGCCTCCCTTTGAAGGGCTGGTGCAACCTGGAGCTGCCGGAAAGCCAAGGGCTGGCTTTCATCTCAGCGGTTGGCATGGAGCATTAGCAGGGCTAATTTTCTGATGGATCCATCTGGAAAGAAGTGGGAGGGGATTTGCTGAGGCCAGAAGAAAGGAACTGAAGGGAGTGAATTCCAGCATGTCTTTATAGAACATTTGAGGGAAGGGGGTCTGGGCACCAAGCAGAGTGTTTCTGTTCTCAGTCTTTACCACGTATCATGGTGATGTGTGTGGGGTTGTGTGAAGGGCTGCAGCACTTGGATGGGTTTAGGTTGGTCCTTGCCATGGGGCTGCTGTGCCAATGGATGTGACCAGGCTGGGGCAGGAGCCCTGAGCGTGGCAGGATGAGCAGAGGGGTGCCTGTGCCCCAGCCTTGGGTATGTGTTTTTAGCAGTAATTTGTCTGAAATGGCCTCATTCTGCACCTCCAACTGCTGTATGAATTTTCGTAGGAGCCAGCAGCTGATTTCATACTTTGGTGTTTCTCACTGTGAGGAAAGCTGGGCTGAATTCCCCCTGAAGAGCTTTCCTGTGGTGCTTTCCACCCCTTCTCCATGCTTTTGGGGTGCAGGCAAGGTGCTGGCGCCGATGCCATGAGGATGAGGAGCTGCCCAAACCCAGCAGCAGGTCAGGCAGGTCCTGGAGCGTTCACAC